AATATGTTTACTGATACATCTCCTAGGGCAGTGGTCGGCAAACTGCGGCTCGGCACACTGCAGCTCGCGAGCCACATGCGGCTCTTTGGCCCCTTGAGTGTGGCTCTTCCACAAAATACCGACTTCTACGCATGGGCTACGAAGTTTCAATCGCTCTGTCCGTGCGCGTCCGCATGTGGTATTTTGTGGAAGAGCCACACTCAAGGGGCCAAAGAGCTGCATGTGGCTCGAGAGCCGCAGTTTGCTGATCACGGTCCTAGGGTAAAGGAAACTAAGCAGAAAAATAAACAAATAGGACTACATCAAAATAAAAAGCTTCTGCACAGCATGAGAACCCATCAATAAAATGAAAAGGGAGCCCACAATATTTGGCAATGATACATCTTACAAAGGGTTAATATCCAAGATATATAAGGAGCCCTAGCTTGTTTGGCTTAGTGTATAAATTGTCGGCCTGCAGAATGAAGGGTCCCTGGTTCGATTCCGGTTAAGGGCACATGCCAAGGTTGCATGCTTGATCCCCAGGAAGGGACATGCAGGAGGCAGCCAATCAGTGGTTCTCTCTCATCATTGATGTTTCTATCTCTCTCCCCCTCTCCCTTTCTTTCTGAAAATCAATAAAAATATATTTAAAAACAACAAAAAACACACAAAATATATAAGAAAGTCATACAGCTTAACAAAAGGAAGACAAACAATCCAATTAAAAAATGGGCAGAGGACCTAAATGGACACTTTCCAAAGTGGATACACACATGGCCAAGAGACATATGGAAAAGTGCTCAAAGTCACTCATCATCAGAGAGATCCAAATTAAAACAACAATGCGGTATCACCTCACACTTGTTAGAATGGCTACCATCAGTAAATCAACAAATAACAAGTGATGGCGAGGATGTAGAGAAAAGGGAACCCTAGTACACTGCTAGTGGGAATGCAGATTGGTGCAGCCATTATGGAAAACATTATGGAGTTTCCTCAAAAAATTAAATATGGAACTGCCTCTTGACCCAGTGATCCCACTTCTAGGAATATATCCTAAGAAACCTGAAACACTAATCAGAAAGGATATATGCCCTATGTTCATAGCACAATTTATAAAAGCTAAAGCCAGGAAAACCCAAGTGTCCATTATTAGATGAGTGGATAAAAAAGCTGTGGTACATTTATATCATGGAACTAGAGGCCTGGTGCACGGATTGGTGCACTAATGGGGTCCCTCGGCATGGCCTGTGGGGATTAGGTCGAAATTGGCAGTCCAACACCACCTGCTGCTCCTGCCTCCTGGCCCCGCTGTGCCTGCCATGGGCTCACTCCCAGTCACTCCCGATCAGGAAAGGCTTGTGCCACCACAACAGCACTTGCCAGCCATGAGCTCGCCGTCTGTGACCTGGCGGTCAGCTGAGCAGCACTCCCACTGTGGGAGTGCACTGATCACCAGAGGACAGCTCTCGTGTTGAGTGTCTGCCCCCTGGTGGTCAGTGCGCATCATAGTTACTGGTTGATCGGTTGGTTGCTAAGGCTTTTATATAGATAGATAGATACTATGCACCAGAAAAAGGATCCCTTACTCTTTTAGCAAGCATGGAGGGACCTTTAGCGTATTATGCTAAGCCAGTGGTTCTCAAGCTTCCTAATGCCGCGATCCTTTAATACAGTTCCTCATGTTGTGGTGACACCAATTACATTGTTACAAATTGAACATATTAAAGCATAAGCATGCCTTTGGGAATGCAGATTGGTACAGATATTGTGGATTAATCACAAAAAAAATATGTAATTATATATGTGTTTTCTGATGGTCTTAGGCGACCCCTGTGAAAGGGTTGTTCGACCCCCAAAGGGGTCACGACCCACAGTTTGAGAACCGCTGTGATAAGCAAAAATAAGCCAGTCAGAGAAAGTCAAGTAGCACATGATCTCACTCAGAAGCGGAATTTAATGAACAAAATAAATTGATGAACAAAATAGATCCGGAGACATAGAGGCATTGAACAGACTTTTGAATAGCAGAGGGAAAGCAAGGGAGGTTGGGTGGGTGGGAAGAGAAAAAGGAAAGAACTTGCATGCATGTATGTGCATATATATAAAATCCATGGTCACAGACAATAGGATGGTGAAGGCCTGGGGTGGGTGTTGGAGGTGGGCTAGAAGGGCTCAATGGGGGACATATGTATTACTTTCAACAATAAAGATTTAATTAAAAAAATTAGTTATCTATGAACAAATAGGCACAAAAGGAGGCACAAAGGTTTAAAGAAACCTTTAGCAAATACTTCTATTACTGTGATTCTCAACCTTCCTAATGCCGCTACCCTTTAATACAGTTCCTCATGTTGTGGTGACCCCCAATTTCACTGTTACAAATTGTACATAATTAAAGCATAGTGATTGATCACAAAAACAATATGTAATTATATATGTGTTTTCCAATGGTCTTAGGCGACCCCTGTGAAAGGGTCATTCGACCCCCAAAGGGGTTGCGACCCACAGGTTGAGAATCGCTGTTCTATAATGTGAACCATCTCCTCCTTTCCCTCCACTTCCCTAATTTTGCTCTATAGACTTGGTTCTTTGCATATTCTTTAAAATCCGTGCCCATGTATGAAGAAAGCTTTGCCCGAAGCCCACTTCAAGGGGCTCATTAGTCCCTAACATCTTGCCAAGAGTAAGGAATTTGGCAGTTGAAAATTCACTCCTCTTCGTGAGTCCAACTTCCTTGGGCAGAGAAAAGTGACATCAGGTCCATCATTAATATGAGGGGATGGAGGGGAAGGGAAGCTCTCACCTTTCCGCTGTAGAAAATATCCTCTCTCTTCACCCTTCCTTCTGCTATCTTCTCTCTGATGGCCTCTCCCACTTCCTTCTCATTCTGGTAGCTGTAGGCCCCATCAATGTACCGGTACCCAACATCGATGGCGAGCTTCACTCCTGCCCTACAGCTCCCCTTAGGGGTCTGAAATAAAGGGGTTGAATTTTGGGAGAAAAGAAATGAGTCTTTCATTTAATTTAAACGGTATTAATCAGGACACTGCTGTAGAGTGAAAATGACAAATTTCCAATTCCATGGTGTTGTGATTGGAAGATGGTATCTAGAGGCTGGAGAAACTGACCTTCTAGGGAGCATTCCATCCTCAGTGGGAGACTCTATCCATCCCAGGTCTGCCCTTAGATTTGTGGTTTCAGAGATGTGACTTGATCAATGTTTCCAGTGACAAGATATTTCCTGGTTTCCATGCTATAGGAAGGCACAGTTCATTGACATCGGTTCAGTTATAAATCAAAGGTTTGGGTGAGTAAACTGAGATATAGCCACTGAATGGAAAACTAACAGGTAGTAAAAAGGAATGCACTATTGATGGACACAGCAATATGGATGAATATCAAATAAGTATACTGAAGAAAAGAAGCAAGACAAAAAAGAATGGGAACAGATTCTAGGACAACAGATGGTGGCTGGCAGGACGTGTGTGAGTTAGTGAGGGGGTGAAAGGAGAGTGTGTGGATGTATGTAGTGTGTGTGAGTGAGTGAGGGACAGTTAAATCTAGCAGGAGTATCAGAGGCTGGCAGACCAGGCTCTCCTGGGCAGGGAGCCCCTACCACTGCTGCAGGCACTCTCCAGCCTCCGGGGCTCAGGCATGGAGCCCAGACCATCTTGAAGGGGAGAGTGGCCTCCTCTAGGAACTCATCAGCACAACCATCTAGACTGGCTTTGGACACTGCCCATGACCCTGCAGCCACACCAGCCAAAGTCCTGCTTCCCCGCTCACAGACCTGCAGACCTGCAGACCCTAGGAAGTCCATCTCTAAGGGTGCATAGATCCCGCAGCAGTAAGTGTGAATTCTACCTCCCCAGCTGCTGACCTCTGGACACCAAAGTTGCGTTTCCAGTGCGCAGGCCTCCTGAGCCCATCGCCTGGCTCCCAGAGGCCTCGGTGAGCCCCCGCTGGGTGCGCTCATATCCGAACAAGGGAACACAGCCCTGACAACAGAAACTGGGACTTCCCCCTTTCCACCTGCCTGCCCAGAGACACCACATTAGGGTGGCTTCAGCAAGTGGGTCCTTCTGAGCCTGCCACCCTGGCCGGTGACTCCCATGTGTCTCCGTGAGCCGCCACACTGGGTGTGCTCATATCCAACCAAGGGAATAAGGCCCTGGCAGCAAAACTTGAACTTCTCCCTCCTCAGCTGCCGACCTCCAGTCACCACAGTGGCACTGATCCAGCGCTCAAGCCCCCTGAGTTCGCTGCCCCAGTAATGTGGCTCTTGGGTTCCACTCTGAGCTGCTACAATGTGCGACTCTGACTGCCGGCATCCAGTCCCCACGGTTGGACAGATATTTAAAAAAAAATGAAACTAGACCACCAACTTACACCATACACAAAAAGAAACTCAAAATGGATAAAGGACTTAAATGTAAGCCGGGAAACAATAAAAAGTTTAGAAGAAGCCATAGGCAGAAAAATAGCAGATATATGTCATAGCAATATCTTCAGTGATATAGCTCCTAGGGCAATGGAAACTAAGGAGAAAATAAAATAATGATACTGCATCAAAATAAAAAGCTATCTTTGCTAAGGGTTTAATCTCTAAAATTTACAGGGAACTCATACAACTTAAAAAAAGGAAGATAAACAGTCCAATCAAAAAATGGGCAAAGTACCTAAATAGAGTACATACAGAAGGCCAAGAGACATATGAAAACATGACTAATCAAAACAACAGTGAGGTACCATCTCACACCTGTCAGAATAGCTGTCATCAACAAATCAAAAGACAAGAAGTGCTGGCGAGGATATGGAGAAAAAGAACCCTCTTGCACTGCTGGTGGGAATGCAGACTGGTACAGATATTGTGGAAAACAGTATGGCGTTTCCTCAAAAAATTAAAAAAGGTACTTTCATTTGACCCAGTGATCCCACTTCTAGGAATGTATCCCAAGAAACCAGAAACACCAATCAGAAAGGATATATGCACCCCTGTGTTTATAGCAGCACAATTTACAACAGCTAAGATTTATAATTTTTAAATGTAGCATTAGAGAATTCTATATAAATTCTAACAGCTTTGTTAGGAAAATAAATTTTAGAGAAAAAAAATCAAAAAGATCAAATAGAATACCATATATGGAGACTGAAATAAGTGATATGATAGGAGAATCTGAAGTGCAAAGATTTTTTTTCACAATTAATGACAATCTCAATAAAATAAAAGAACTCTCAATAAAGAGTTCTGTTTCCTAAAATGGCCAATAGCACCCTTCCTCCACTTGAGAAATGAGCAAGTCCTTAAGGATGAACTTTCTTTTTTTTTTCTTTATTGATTAAGGAATTACATATGTGTCCTTATCCCCCCATTATCCCCCCGCCCCACTCATGCCCTCACCCCCCTGTTGTCTGTGTCCATTGGTTAGGCTTATATGAATGCATAGAAGTCCTTTGGTTGATATCTCCCCCTTACCCCTACCCTCCCCTACCTTCCCTCTGAGGTTTGACGGTCTGATCGATGCTTCTCTGTCTTTGGAACTACAGGATATAACATATGTCCTAGGGCAACATATTTGTATGGTATTGTGCAATAAGTACAATACATGAGTCTGAAAACCCGCTTGGAGTGATTCATTTTAGCATCACTCCCTTTGACCTACTTGGAAAATTCCTGCTTCCCATCCCTGAATTTTTGGCTCTGTGATTCTAAAGGTCCTAATTCACAGGGGAAATCAGCCTCCTTATTGTAAGAGTTCAGCATTCAAGGAAAGAATTTCCATATTGGCAGGGGTAAGATACCTTATCACAAGGGGATAGGTGAACCAAATGATATACTTATTACCAATTGTGATTGTTAATGGACAAGGCAGCAGCCATAACTTGAGAGGGTAGTTGACTAGAGATTCAGACAACTCAGGGATGAGGATTTGGGACATAATACTAGGTAAGTCACCCAGACTAGCAGAGATATTGGCTAAGGATACAGGAAACTTAGAATGGGTATTCTGGGAGGAAGAGAATAAGTAGAAGTTACAATTGAAGACAGCTTTAGTGGCAAGGGCCTTATTCATCCTGCTAATCTACCTCTTTAAATATTTTCCCAGGAAACAGACCAAACAGAATTCTGGAAGAGCTGTTCCCAGGGGTGAACTTAGCATATAAAGGCAATTGACAGCAGGGATAGAACATGTCATAATGAACCCCACTTCCTCAGTCCTCAGAAGTGTTGGCTGCTCATTACTCACATCTGGTTCCCTCTATAGATGACACAGGGTATAAAGGCCTGATGCCCTTACCTGAACTCAGCACATCTCTGTGCCATCATTCCCATTCCAGAACTCCCTGTGGCATTGATGAGCAACTGCATTGCAGTTCAGCTGTCCCCACTGCACACACCCTTACAGGTCTGGTCTCTGAGAGTACTCACCAACAAGCCTCCTGCATGCAAATCTCCTCAGAGGCTGTTCCCAGATTTCCCAATTTAACACTTGGGTAGAGAAGGGTTTCTTAAACAAGCCACAGAAAGTACTAATGATAAATTAAAGAGTGCTAAATGTGAGCACATTAAAATTGGGAATCTCTGTTCATCAGAAGACACCATTCATTAAAAGAGTAAAAAGGTAAGTGGGAAGAGATATTTTCACATAGATATAACTCATATGCATATATTTTTAAAATCCAATATAGCAATAAGAGAAGAGAAATCCAATAAAGAAACATTTGTGGAAGACACAGCCACTTTGCAAAAGATCTCCAAATGTCTAATAAAAATATGAAAAATTAATCTCATGTAGAGTTGAAAGGAAGTGCAAGTTAAAACCAGAGTTGCATAAATTTAAAAAATCAGCAAGTGTTGGTGAGAATGTTCCCTCATACTGTGAGCTCCGTTTTCATTTTGTTGATGGTTACTTTTGCTATGCAGAAGCTTATTTTGATATAGTCCTATTTGTTTATTTTCTCCATAGTTTCCTTTGCCCTAGGAGATGTATTTGTAAACATAGTGTTACAGAGATGCATTTTAGACTGAACTAAAAGTGCTCAAATATGAACTTAAAAAAAATCACAGGCCATAAACTCAGTAATTTCATGTGCTTGAGATCAATAAAATAAGAAGCACCCCGCTGAATTTTAGTCAAGAAAGCAGAAAGGTCCCATTCTCTAATCCAAGATCATTTTAAATCACAAATTGATTTAGTTTAATGTTTGGCTCAATACTCATTCAGCCAAACAATAGCCCTTGGAAGTTGCTTTCATTATTACAAAAAGTCAATCAATTAGATCCATTTAAAATGAATTACGGATTATAGTTTAGAAACGTTTCTTATTTTAAAAAAAACAACAATACAGCCCTGACCGGTATGGCTCAGTGGATAGAGCGTCAGCCTGTGGACTGAAGGGTCCCAGGTTCGATTCCGGTCAAGGGCATGTACCTTGGTTGCGGGCACATCCCCAGTAGGGGGTGTGCAAGAGGCAGCTGATCGATGTTTCTCTCTCATCGATGTTTCTAACTCTCTATCCCTCTACCTTCCTCTCTGTAAAAAACCAATAAAATATATATTAAAAACAAAACAAAACAAAACAAAAAAAACAACAATACAGAAAGAGATAAATTTACCATTGGAGGGGTTGGGTAGGTACCATACCCAATGATAGGAATGCTGTTTCCATCACTTAGAGGTATGCGGTGATCTACTGCAGTGAGTTCCATCTTGGAGAGCCTAGGACTTCAGATTTCTGCGAGTGATTCCGAACACTTTTGGACAGGTGTCCTAGGGCCTATTTAATCAAAGAAAGGAGGGCAAGAGGGAGGAGCAGTGGGAGGGAAGAGAGATTGACAGATCTATTTCTCAACCTGTTTTCTTCTAGGTTGTTATGGAAATACTGAGATTGTCCTTTGAACTTTATTCGAGATATAAGAATAACTCAATTGAGAGTTTATGCTTATACCTCTGCAAAGAAAAGATTGAACAACAACAACAACAAAGGAAAGGAATCGAGTGGGGTTCTGTTAGGATGCTTTTGTTGCCAATTAACAGGTCTATCTCAAATTCTCTTAGAATATAAAGGAAATTTATTGGTTCATATTCCTGAAAACGTCAACATTAGGACTAGCTTAAGGTGAGACTAGAGTAGTTCCTGTCCCAGAACTTCCCTGGAGATTCTGAGGCAGCAGGATTGGGCAGGGGTCTGGATTGCTACCACATAGAGGTAAACTTGGAAACATTGGGCCAGAGGAACAAAGGAAAAGGCAGGAAACAATTTCACACCCTCTGTCTCCTAGCTTTCTCAGCTGACTCTCCCCTTATCATTGAAAGACAGTAATCAGCCCTTGAAGTGACTCAGCTCCAGCTTCAGGTCCACTAACACAGAGCTTACCTCCTCCATAGCTCAACCATAACCCAGGAATGGAGTCTTTTTTGCCTCAATAGTCTTTTTTGGTTGAACCATCCATCGCTAAATCAATCAGAGTGGTCAAAGGAAATAAAAGATTGATTTGATTGCCTTAAGAGAATACTAGTAGAAGCCATTTCTACATGTGGAGTTAGGGTGAATCCTGTGGTTCTCAACTTTCCTAATGCCGAGACACTTTAATACAGTTCCTCATGTTGTGGTGACCCCCAATGTCATTGTCACAAATTGAACATAATTAAAGCATAATAATTAATCACAAAAACAATATGTAATTATATATGTGTTTTCTGATGGTCTTAGGCAACCCCTGTGAAAGGGTCTTTTGACCCCCAAAGGGGTTGCGACCCACAGGTTGAGAACGCTGGGTTAATCCCTCCTGGGAAGATTCTGGATGTTGTTAATGAAAGGGAAAGAAGTAGTAATTAGGGAAACAATGGTTATTTATTTTAATCTTCCTCTAAAGGACTGTGCAACAGTCCATGATGATGGAAGTGTCCTGAAGTTTGCCTGAAATTGACTTGCCCTCTCTCTAGGAAATTCATTCTTGCTAATATACACACAGGCAGTGGACACAATAATTTCCACCAGCGTGGGGCAGTGTGGAATGTGGGCAGTAATGGTCCTCAATATCAGTTGTCAAATCGGTCCATCACTCATTGCCACCTTTGTGTGCTAAGATGTTAGCTAGAATGTCTCTTTATTATTGACTTTCTAGCTCTATGAATTTTAGCACATGTGTAGATTTATATAACTACCATCACATGTAGGATACTGAAACATTCTATAACCCAGAGAATGCCTTCATGTTATTTCTTTATAATCACCCCCTCCACCACCTGCACCCCCTGGAGAAGTCACTTCCTATTGTTCATTCCTATTGTTTTATCTTTTGAGAATATCATATGAATGGAATCATACAGTATATATAGTCTTTTGAAATTGCCTTCTTTCAGTCAGCATAATCTGTTTGAGATCCAACCAGGTTGTGGCTTGTATCAATAGCTTCTTTAGTTTTTATTGTTGCATAGTCTCCTGTATAATAAAAGCACAGTATGCAAATTGTCCCCTCAACTGGGAGTTCCTCTGGGAGTTCGACCAGGGTGCTGGGCCAGCCGGGGGAAGGGTGGGTGGCCCCAGCTGGCAGCAGTGGTGGCAGCAGGCAACTTGGGGAAGGGAGGGAGACTCTGGCTGGCAGTGGTGGCAGCAGCTATAGGCGGCTGGGGAAAGAGAGGGAGTACAGGCCAGCAGCCGGCAGCCACTAGGGACCATACCAGTGCACGAATTTAGTTTGTTTTCAGTTTTTGGTGATTGTGAATAGAACTGCTGTAAACATTTGCATACAGGTGTTTGTATGAACATTAGTTTTCATTTCTCCAGCAGTGAGAACCATCAACCATGAATTATGTGGTGTGTTTGACTATTTAGGAAGCTGCCAAACTGCTTTTCTCAATGGTTGTAACATTTTGCATCCCCACTAAGAATGCATATGAATTGCAGTTGTTCTCCATCCTTGACACAATTTGCCATTGTTTGTATTTTTTTACTCTAGTCATTGGATAGATTTGTCATGGTATCCCCTGGTTATTTTAATTTTCATTTCCCATGTGGATAATGATGTTGAACATTTTTTCATGTACTTATTTGACATCTTAATTTCTTTTTGGTGAAGTGCCTTTTCTAGTCTTTTGCCTATTTTTTAATTTGTTTGTTTGTCTTAGTGTTGAGTGTGGAGATTTCTTGGTACATTTTTGATGCATGGTATTTACTGGATATGTGGTTTGTAATTTTTTCCCCCAGTGTGGCTTGCTTTTTCACTCTCTTAATTGTGTCTTTTATGGAGCAAAAATTTTTAAATTTTGTAACATTCATTTTTTTGTATTGTGTTTTGAATCTGACCTCCAGATCCTCAGGTCATTCAGGCTGTGTATGTGTTTAAGTTGGAAAGTACACTTGTACCTTTCCTGTACCTTTCCAATGATGAGATTAGTAGTATTTAGTCACATCAACATGCAGTTTCGCAAAGACTACGACTAGAGAGGACATTCCTAAATGCACAGGGTAGTCTGACATTGACTCATAATTGAAGTGCTGACGTCATTAAAGATAATGGGAATACCTTGAGATGTGGAAATTTAATTCTTTGAGAACTTTGATAATTTTTAGTTTTAGAATTTGTTTTCTACATTTTTCTGAAGAACAAGGATAAGAATAGTAGTTTGCAGGTAAAAGGCAATAGTTTTCAAAGTTTTTAAAACATAGTCTGGCAAGAAAAAGCACGCTTTACCCTACAAATAGGCAAAGAGTGATCAAAGTTTACCAGAAAATACTGATTGAACCAACATTTGCTCTTTTATTTCATGCTACTTGCAGGCTAGCCCTTTTAAAGTGAATTTACTTTTGGAAAAGACTCATATGCCATGAGTGAATTTGAATCTGTGGTAGCATAACTTGCTTGACAAGCTTTAGTTTTTGTGTTTAAGTGTGAACTATTAATGAAGAAAATTAAATTAAGCTTATCAAAAGGTGCGTTACTATGTTTGAGACAGTGTTTGATTATTGAAAGTATCCACAGAACTCAATTTACAAGTTACAGGCAACAAGTATAATATAGCAATGGCAGGAGAATGAAATGTATTGGGGGAAGTCTGGAGACCTCTAGTGTAGACCTTTCTTACCCTCCTATCACTGGGTTGCTTAGGATATACTTTGTCTTAGTTTTTTTTAAAATACGTGTTTATTGATTTTTAGAGAGAGAGGAAGGGAGAAGGATAGAGAGATAGAAACATCATTGATTGACTGCCTCTTGTACAACGTGGGCATGTGCCCTGACTGTGAGTTGAACAGAGAACCTCTTGGTTCATGGGTGGACATTCTACCCTGACCCCCACTGGCCAGACTGTCTTCAGGTTTGAACCACCACTGCCATGTGTATGAAGCACCTTGGTACCAGACAGTCCAAACCTGTTCAAAGTGTGCTGGTTGCCCAAGTGTCTCCCAGCTATATGACCAGCCTAAACTCTCAACCCTCCCCAAACCAGGTGCAAGTTATGAATCCAATGACTAATACTGAACATTGCTGGTACATCTGCCCCCAAACAACTCACTGCCCTATGGTTAAGGAACTTAATATGTTCTGTAGTAATGTCAAAGTTCAATTATGCTGTGTGCAGTTCTGGAAATAAGCATTTTGTCATTTCAAACCTGCTGAGATTAACCCATGCTATACAAAGGGAATATTCGAAGATGTGGACAGACATAGACAATTTTTTCACACAGGTTAAATAATCAGTGTAGGGAAGGAGAGTTGGTAGGTTCAAAATGTCACAATTATGGATAGTGATATGTGAAGGAGAAGCAGTGATGGCAATAACCTGTCTTATGGCCTTTAATTTATTTCATAAAATGTATTATAATTGTTTCCAATCCTGGGAGGAAAAAATTCTTTTAATACACAATTATTTCACTAGTCCTTTATTTAAACATGGGTATGCTTCTTTTTTCTTTTTAATTTATCTTTATTTTTCAAAGTATTACCGGTGTCCCTGTTTTCTCTCCATTAACCCCTTCATCTTTCACCTGCCCCTCCCCAGGCCTTCACAATACTATTGTCTGTGTCCTTGGATTATGCACATATGCATATAAATTCTTTGGTTAATCTCTTCCCAACCACCTTTCCACCCCAGCCTTCACTCTGAGAGTTGTCTGTTAAACATGGGTATGTTTCTTTTAACCTGAAAAGTACATCATTGTTTATATGTATTCATATTAATATATTTTACCCAGGAAGATACACTTTAATTTTCATTTATCAGGCTTCTCCCACGCCTTTCCTCCTAAGCTTGGTGAACAAAAAGAGTTCATACAATCATTATAAATTAATAAAAATCTGGAGAATCCAAGCAAACCTGATTATTTTTATTTACTTAAAAATAAATCTTAGTGGTACCTAGTGGTCTTTCCAATAATTCAATTATAGTTCAGTCATCAAAAGACATCTTAAGTAACAGAGATTTCCCAAATTGGGACATTTGAAAGCCTCATGAGACTCTATATCAGGTAATGCTTTGATTTAGAGGTAAAGTGTAGAATGCAGCAAGGCAGTATAGGCAAACATGACAGGTTGGAGGGATGACCTCCCAGGCTCAGGGAACTCAGGACCCATATTCACGCACACAACATGCCATGTCTCCTGATTGAACCACCAAGATTGGTGTGCGGTATCTTAGCTCGGGCTAGAACACAAACCTGAAGTTCCCAGCATAGACTTTGATGACTCTGGCCACATAGTCAAGTCCA